AAGACAATGGAAAGGAAGCAGGGAGGTAAAGGAAAAGAAAGAACCTTAAAGAGAAGAAGAGTAGGAAACAGGCCAAATAAGGGAGATATGGATAAAAATTGTGTTAGTTTAAGGGAGGGGGGAGGGAAGGGTATAAAAGGAACCTAGTGGATAAAGGGAAAGAAGGAGCTCAAGAGTGTAGGGCCATAGGAGAAGTGTTTATTAAGGGAGAAAGGGGGGAAATGGGGGGCATCTTAAGTGGGAAAACCATGATGGAGGGGTGAGACAGTATGAGAGATAAATAATGCCTAGCTAGTTTTGTAAACCAGCGGGAACCATATTACACCTACAACCTAGTGACAAATTAAAACATAGCGGATCAAGAAATATATGTCTAGGTAAAGTTTATCTGAGAACAATTGGTCTTTGCCAAAATTTATCTACATGACACACATTAATTAAAAGTACCAGACTGGTGGAACTAACTTTCTTGGATGTTTAACAGACATATTTTGAGGCCGATAATAATTTGGTCAAAGAGACATAAAGGACAGTTTTTGCTCATAGCCCTCCTGGGTTGACTAGTTTAAGGGGACTATGAGCATCTCTCAAAATGTCCTATAACGGTGGTGGGTCACCTGTCCTCTTGATCAAGGAGGCTGAGGAGACCCCACCAGATGGACTTGAACCAGTGTCCAGTCTACAAAGAGGAGGGTCAACACAGAGGAATCATTTCCTCCACGCTTAAAGCGAAGCCAACCATGATCGAGCAGGACCTTTGACTTATCTTCACATAGGCAGAACTGGTAAAAGAAAGGAGCCAGGAGCTTCTCCCAAGCCCTTGTGACCCCTGAGGAACAGATTCTCAAAGGACCTTAAGAGTAGAAATAAATTGGTTTATCTGGGACAACTGTATGGCCTTAAACACCCAAAAGGAAAGTATAATCAAAGATTAAAGGGGCTAATATAATTTAAGAGCCCATATGCATAGCTAAAGGTTACATAACAAGCAACAATGCCAGATAGGAGATACCTTCTTTTGAGTTGTTGGCCAGGGTGGCCAAAGGGACTCCCAGATAGTAACCCAGCATAGAACTGGGAAAATGAACAGCACACCAAATCTTATCTAAAGGAATATTGACAACTGATTGCTGCTAGATAAGGAGCAGCTGACCCTCCTAAAACAAAGACCTCTAGATAGGGTGACTAGATTCACCAGAGGGCAAGTAGTGGGGAATGGCTGGGGGTGCCTACAACACAGCAGAGAGTAATAGGGATATCAGAGTATAAGGGTTCTAGTTGGGGGAGGGACGCTATGGGAAGTTGCCATCTGGAAGGTGGGTGTATAGTTGAATAAGATGGTTTGGGATGTTCTGTGTGTTACACACATACACACACATACACAAATGAACAATTTTTTTAAAAACTGTATTATATTTGAGGAGGAAGTATGGAAATTTGCGTCATGCTAATTAGTAGAGGTGATAAACATTACCAGTGAAATATACCCGATGACTTTATAGACATACACAGGTGCCAAGGATCCAAGTGCAACTGATTATGACTAGTAATAATCAGATAGATGCAGATTAGAGATTCATGTGCCAAAATCTCAGTGTTAGTAGCAAAAAAAAATGAGCCTTTCTGCAGGGAACATTATATTCTAAAATGAAATGAAGACCTTTTTTAAAGGTTAAAAACTTATTCAATTTAATGTCTTACAGGGCTTATACTGAGTTCAATATTGTATAACTGTATTAATTCGCCTGTGAACCTAGAAACTTGCACCCACTTGTGAAAGAGATGTACTCTTGTTCTGTAGTGTGTTACTGAATATGTTAAAGCTATAGTGAAATGCTTCTCTAATCATGTAGCTATTAAAAATTTAAAAAACACTGGACAGAGTCCCGGCTCGCGACAAAAGCATAATAGTTTGCTCCCTAATTATTAACAGATGTGAAAAACATCACCATTGAAATCTACCTGATGACTTTATATCCATGCTCAGATTCCAAAGGAGCTCAGAAATAACCGACTGTGACTAGTAATAATGAGATATATAGAGATTAGAAATGCATGTGCAAACATCTTAATGTCAATTGCATTAAAAATGAATTTTTCTGTATGAAACTGTTTATTTTAATATTGTAATGGAGATATTTTTTAAAGGTTAAAACATCATTTAATTTTATGTCTTACAAGGTTTATACTGAGTACAGTATTGTATAACTGTAATAATTCAGCTGTAAAGTTAAAAATTTACAGCCAATTTTGAAAGAGATGCATCTTAGCCCAGGAAATTGTTATTGAATATGTCAATGCTGTTGTAATGAAATGCTTCTTCTAAGTATGTGGTTATTAAACAATTAAAAATAAATAAATCCAAAGTATATTTTTAAAAAGTAAGCTACGTTTCATGTATTAAAACAAGCATAATGAAGATATTTTTCCATTGATTATGAATGGTTTTATAATGAAGTTAAAACTGTAGACATATATACAAATAAATATATATAATGTATAATCAAATATTCATGAGCATACATCTGCTTGTATAAAAATAAAATCTTATTAAATATTACATCATTTTGACTTCTGACCTACAAGATACTGTGTTCCTTAAGGAATTCTGATTATTTACCAACCTAAGGACAACATAAAAAACATAATTTTCACTGAAAAATTACATGGAAATTAATTACAGATGCAAGTAATTTTTTGTAAGCATTAGATTCAACATGTGAACTGCAAATCATCTTAATGTATAACAGAGCATTCTGTCAACATAGTTATTGCATGCATTTATATAGTACATACAATGTGCCAATTAATATTAAACAACATATCACATTCCATTATTATATATTGTATAAAGTAGTGAATTTGAAAGAAGCTTAGGGACTAGTACAAAACTAGAACAAAATTCAAACCAAGACAGATGTTTGTTCTTCATAAGATCAAACTAGAAAAATGAAATCATAAGAGCAATGATTTTGTGAAGTAGACTTCCATATTAGGGATAAAGTTAGTGGTAGTCATGACTATGAGTTGTCTTGAGGTTTGACAGAGAGAAAGATGAGTACTTGTGAGGGATTGTTAGAATCAGATTGCTCAGCAGCAAAGATGTGAAGGCCTACTCCTGAGCTATTGATGGCCTGCCACCAGCATAAACCCTGGCAGGGGAATTCTTTTGGAAGTGGTATTCACAATATGTGTCTATATCCTTGGGATAGGAAAGTTATATTCTATTGCTATGTAGACTGTTCTGTCTCTAAGTACTACATTTGCAAGATAGGATTAGAAGATCCTTGAATATTTGAGGCAAAGAGCTCAAGTTGCTTTACCTACTCAGTAAATCGTCATTACATGGACAGAAACACAGAAACACTTGGTTTATGCTGTGGATGAAGAGAGTATAAAAATCTAGCCAAAGAAATAAACGGGGTCCATTGCCTATGATGGTACCCGAGTGAGAACTCCGTTGTCTTTTCTTTTTCATTGCTCCTCTGATCCAGGTTCTTGTTATCATTTCTGGGCTATGCCCGGCAATGAGTGGAGGACATAAAGATCTAGAATTCTAGGCTCTGTGTTAGAAATGTTCTAAATAGAAGCAAAAGTTATGCAGAAGAAGTTTATGCAGAAAGATAAGCAGAAATTGAAGTTCTAAGGACAGAATAATAATCTGGGAAGTTTAAAATTTTTAAAGTGCTTTAATAACCAAAGTATAACTTTCAATCTCAAAATATGTAATTATATCTTAGAATGTAAATTTACAAGTCTGTACATCTCCTATAATTTTCAAGTATTATTTACTGACAAAACTGTACTACTAAGCTTCAACAATACTGTGAAATTTCTTGCTGCAATATGAGTTTGGCATTCACTCCCCTTCTCTAACAGCTAATTTCATTCCTCTTCCTAGTGACTTAGCTTCTTTTAAAAGCACATGATTGATAAATAACATTAATGAAATTGGGGCTTAGAGATGGCTAAGAAGTTAAGGGTGTGAACTGCTCCTGAAGAGGACCTGCAACCATGTCACATGGCTCACAACTGCTTGTAACTCCATCTCCAGAGGCCCAACTTCCTCTTCTGACCTCTGGGGATACTTGCACTCTTGTGCATATACCCACATACAGATCAACACATATATAACTTCTAAAAAATAAAAACATAAAAAAAACATGTGTTCCAGATTTTATCAAATGTGTTCATGTAGTTTAAATCTTTATGATAGATTTCACTGAGCAAGCAGTGAGAGTTCAAACAGGCATCACAGGTTTCGAGTATAAAAGTTCAACTACATCTACCGGGAATGCACTTGACTTTTTGGTGGTATGGGAAAAGGCTGGGCTCCTGAAAAATAATTGTACATTTGTCCTTTTCCTCCAAGATTACTTCAAAACACAAAATACACAAAAAAATTGCTGTGCTCTAAAGCAAAAAGAGAGAGTACAAAACTACAAATTTAAACAGAGTTCTACCTCGCTTTTCTCATAACAAATAACCATGATAATCAACATGTCCATCATACACCAGCCGGCAACATTGCTCTGCTTTGGATGATCTCCAAAACACAGTTATCAGAAGGAAGAAATAGTTGGTCTTTTGTGTAGAAATGTATTTCTGATATTCTGAAAACTGAAACAATTTCCCCTGTGTTACATGATTTTCTAATGCAACAAAATGTACAGTTTTTATTCCATTCCCCCCATTATGACAAAATGATTCTGTTCATAATATATGCACTTTACATGTGAAATACAAAACTTTCAAGAAATCCTAGGTATAGTTCATCCCCATTCTTAATATTTAAAGCAAATGCTTTAAAACAAAAAACATAAAATTGTACACTTAAATGGGCTTATATGGAATAAAAAGAAATATTTTATTTCTGCATGAAAAATATATTTGTAAAATGATTGATTATCTTAAGTCTTCAGATGTTCTGCTTTTTTTTTTCTCTTTTAATTAGGGAGATGGGAGGAATGACCTTCAGACATTTGATTCTATTTACTTACAATCAAGCCACTGTTCGCTTGCCTTTTCTCCCTGCCATCGATCATTTTGTAGAAAATTCCGCCTGGATTAAACTGAGTACTCCAAATAATCATATTTCTTTGATAATATACATCCATCCCTGTTATCCTTGAATTATGTTCAATATGAGAAATTTGTTGATGACCGCCACTGTAGTTGAATGGATATATAAAACCCAGGATATCAGTGTCATTAGCAATGTAGAGAACGTGATCTTCAGAGCCTGGGGATTATTGTAATAAAATACAAAAATAAAGTCAATTTCAACTAAGTAAAATCAATGATATTTTTGTAAATTATATTTTATTATTATTACTAATAAAGTTTCTTCCATAGTAAAACAACAACAACTAATTTTATAGCATCTTCTTTTCTTCATCTTGTTTGATTTCTGTTAACCACTTTTCTAAACATTCATAATTCTCAATTAAGTTTTCTGGTACAAAGATTAATTCATGTGAATAAATTAAGCATGTGAAAAAGATGTTCTGGTAAGTCACAATGTGCTATGTTCTAATGATTTGAATCTTTGTAGTTAGATGCTGTACTGCTCTGTTCATTGCCCTCAAAAATATCTGCGAGAGTATTTAGCAGATGTACCTGAGTGACTGCTACTTAAGGCTAAAGAGTGAAAATTAAGAATTGAAGAGTTCTTCTTTCTGCATCCATATAACTTGGATTATTTGATTTTGAAAATTATTTTTCCTCAGTACTAGTTACTGAGCCCAGTGTTTTGCACAAACTGATCAACAGTTCCCCACAAAGATACATTCTGCCCTGTTTTATTTTCATTATAACAGAGTTCAGTATTTATTAACTTAAAATTTCATAATTTTGAATTAATCTATAATCATAATGGAAAATATATCTTAAAGTTTTGATGCTTATTATATATTACTAATATCATTTCATATTGATTTTAAAAATAAAACCATAATGTGAATCCTGACAATATTAAAATATTAATGAAAACCAAAAGAAATTCAGTTGCAAATAGAGTTCTTGCAGAATAACAATGATAATGATAATAATTGCACTCAAATTTAGATGAGATCTTTGTTGAGTTTTATTCATCTTTTTTCATTATACAAAATGACAGGTTGCATAATGGCATTTTCATGAACATATATCATGTACTTTGATTATATGAAACCCTTCATTTAATAGTCATAATGTCTCTCAATGCTTATCTATCTGACACTATGTTAATCCTTCCACAATTCAAATTTCTTACAGCAATCATGAAAAATAGATATAAGTAGCTCTATGTTACAGATGAAGAACTGGTGCTCAAAGAATTTAATGACTTCATCCAGGTCATACTGTATGGATAGTGCAGTGGTAGGGTTTAAATTTACATCCACTTAACACCATTGCACTCACAGGATCCACGGCATCAAACCAATTTCCTCCTGTGATAACATCTTATTAATCATATCCTGTACCTAACAACACTAGAGTTACATTATTCATAAAATTGCATAAGCTTTAAACTTTATATACAAAAGACCAACACCACACCTGCCATTCATGTTTTTAAAAAATGGTATTTCCATAAACAATTTTCTATTAGATTAATATAAAAATAAATATGAATAAAAAGGAGTAAGTTCTAGTGTTCTAAAGAAGAGTGGATGAACTAATTCACAATAATTTGTTACATGCTTTAAAAAGAATTCAGAGAGGGATTTTTGGAAGTTTCTGGAATAAAGAATTATAAATGTTTTAATGAAATATAAATGTATTGCAAATCATTTTTTAAAAGAAAAATTAAATGGCATGTTAACTGTTATTATTATATAATTATTTCATAATATCAAGAATAAACCTTTTGCTAAAATGCAATGTGAAATAACTTTTCCCCATTAGCTATTAACAATAAAACTGAAGTGATCTCTATAATAATGGTTATATCCATACCTTTTGCTACACAGGTATTATTTCTTTTGTGAAAATTCTGGTCACAGACACATTTATACGATCCTTCTATGTTTATGCATTGGTGGGAACACACACCAAACACCGAACATTCATTAAGATCTACAAGAGAGGAGCTCAGGATAGATCATCACAGTGGCAACCCCCACTTGAATTCTCTCCATATTTAAAAAAAACAAAACTATTGTTTTCACTTAGTTTTTTATTCTTATTTCTTTCATTCCCCTTTAAAAATCAGTGATCTTTAGTTTACTGTGCAAAACTTGGTGCTTTAATTGTTATATTCTTATTTTTTATTTGTTGGTTGGTGCTGGGGATAGAACCCAGGGTTTTGCAAATGTGAGACAATCATTTTCCCACACCAATTTCTGAATGAAAATTAGTCTTTTATTTTTCTAATTTTTATTATTCCACTTAAATATCACAATCTGCATTTCAATCTTCAGTACTTTCTTCTCTCCAATGTCTTATAGCCACCCGCGCATATGTTGTCCCTTTGTCTATGATTTCCTTTCCCAATCCTTCATTTCCACCACTCGTTCAAGATCCACCCAAAGGGCCAGCCTTACTTGGTGCCCAGCAATGCATGGAATGATGGCCTCCCTAAATTTCACATAGCAACAAGGTTCTTTGAGGACCTAAGTTATGATGCATTCATTTTCTTTTAAATTTGTGTGTGTGCTGTATGTTTGTGTGTGCCTGTGTCTGTGTGTCTGTGTGTGCAGCCAGTGGTCAATGTTGGGATCCTTCCTCAGTCTCTTTTCACGTTTTTCTTTTTTTTTTTTTTTTTTTTTTTTTTTTTTTTTTTTATTTTTTCACTTTTGTGGGGGGGGGTGTGTTTTTTTGTTTTTTTTTTTTTTTTTATTTTTTCACTTTTGTGGGGGGGGGTGTGTTTTTTTGTTTTTTTTTTTTTTTTTATTTTTTCACTTTTGTGGGGGGGGGTGTGTTTTTTTGTTTTTTTTTTTTTTTTTTTTTTTTTTTTTTTTTTTTTTGAGGCAGGGTTTCTTGCTGAACCTGGAGTTCACCAATTCATCCATGTATCCCCTGTGCGTGGTGCTGGTGATTTGAGTTCAGGCCCTCATGCTTGCACCATAAACACTTTACCCACTGAGGCAACTCCTCTGCCCTGATGTATTCATTTTTCTCACCACATCTTCATAATGACTGACAGAAAATGAAGATGTGGATTTACTTCTGTCTCAGATCTTTGTTGATATATGGGAAACAATTATGCAAAATAAGAATGATATTAAGAACGAAACAAGAAAAAAACCTGAATATCAATCTACAAGTAAACATGTTAAGTCACAGGAATAAGTGAACATGCCACAGGTGGTGTTCTGCAGGTGTAAACATGCCTCTGAATTAAAGGTATAAGCAGAGCTGGGAATTAAATCAAGTGGTCAGCTGGATTATTTACTTTACCTGCTTTCCTCCTCTAATTTCACATATTTATCTCTGGCCCTTTTGTCCTGTATATTTGCCTTAATTACATAATAAATATGTAAAATAAATAAACCCTTGTCTTAAATTAGAAAGTGTAAGATTATGTGCAATGAATGACACACAAGACCTGTGTTTAGCACTCTACAGTGCTTTAAGAGCCCAGTGCTAGATGCAGAGTTCGTCCCAGTGACACCTGTTGTGCTGATTAGTTTTGGTCAATTTGACACAAACTAAAAACATCCGGGAAAAAGGACCTTCAGTTGTGGAACTGGACTGGCTTGTGGCCTTGTCTATGAGGCATTTTCTTTATAGATAATTGATGCAGGTGTGGGCAGTGCCATCCTTGGGCAGGTGAACCTTGGCTGTCTGAAGAGGGTAAGTGAGCAGGTAAGTGAAGCAGGCTGGTAAGTGGAGTCCTCCAAGGTCTCTGCTTTAGTTCTTGCCTCTGGGTGCCCTGCTTGAGTCCCTGCCCTCACTTCCCTCAGAGATGGCTGTGACATGGAAGTGTAAGCCAAATAAATCCTTTCTCTCCAAGTTGGTTTTGGTTACTGCTTTATCACAGCAACAGAGAACATGAAACTCGAACGCCCGTGAACGAAAACTGAAGGCATGTACCCAGTAGTCTCTGGGTGGTATCTTGCCCAGAGATGCCTTGAACATTCTAGTGACAATTAATTTCTGTGTTTTGTTGAAAAATTAAAAAGATAATGAACATTTACTTGTATTTAATGAAAATTATTTAGAGATGAAGTGAAATGTATCATATGACCATTTAATCATTCAAATTATAAAACAATTATTCTGTGTTGTTTAGGGAGAGCGCTATCTGCATGTGTTACCTTTGTACAAAACCTCAGCCAACCTGTGTGATTTGATCAACTCTCAGCTCCCCACATGGAACATCATGTCCAGCTTCATCACTTTGTTCTATCTACTTGAGTCCAGGCTCCTATGCACAGTGCCTGTACCAGTGCCTGGTGAGCAGCAGCTGCTGGGGCCTTTCCGTTTCTCCTCTGCAAGCTCTGGTTATGTAAACTGAGTGTTTTGCTTTTAATGAAAAATAGCAACTTTTGTACCTTTTTATTAAATAAACAAATGAAGGAAACTAACAGATTAGCTTACAAAATAAAGGTAATGACATTCCCTCTTGTATACCAAGTGAAAATTGCTTTCATAACTATGAAATTTTTTTTATTATGGATGGAAATTTAATCAGTGTTCACAATTTACTCACATCCACAATAGACATATATAGAAAGAGTGAAAACATGGCTATTTGAAGAATATAGCTCTGCTTTTATTTCCCTTGGAATAGAACAGAAAGTAAAGGAAACATTGAGAACAAAGGTTTTACATTTAATAAGTATATTCTAGACAGGAAACAGCCTGCCATTTCTAAATAAATTTAAGAAAATCAAGGCTATCAAAACTAAAATCTTAAAGATTTTTTTGAGTGTGTGCATATGTATTCAGATACAGTTGATAGAAACTTCCAGGAGAAGAAAAATAACTTAATTTTCATTAAAATAGAAAGATCTTATTTAGCCAGCTTTCAGTGTTACATGTCGTAGAGAGCTCATCTGCATAGGTGGGTTACTCAAAGCACACAGAAATATGTTTTTTTTCTCCTCTGTGTAAGCATAACCAATTTTTCTACATTCTAAGAAAATATAAATTCATTCTTTAATCCAAGAATAAAAAGAGCTAGAGGAAGATATTATTTTGGAATTTTTATGGGGCAGGAAGATGGCCCACTTGGTAAAGTGCTTGCTGCACAAGCATGAGGTCCTGAGTTCAGATTCCCAGTCCCAACATAATAATAATAATAAAAAACCTGGCAAACTGATAGCATGTGCACATCTGTAATCTCTACTGGGGTTGGGAGGAACCCCTGGAGCTTGTTGGTGAGGTAGTCTAGCAAATCACTGAGTTTCAGATTTAGTGAGAGACCTCATCTAAAAAAAAAAGAAAGAAAGAAAAACCAAACCCCGGTGGAACATGATAGAGGAAGATACCTTAATGTCAACCTCCAGCATCCAAATTTACATTTCACACAATCCTACAAACAAGTACATACACATAGGAACAATAACTATCCCACAAAGAATTTTTGTTTGCCCTGAATATGCCAGGCAGAAATTTGAATTTGTCTCAAATGACAATAATAGGTAAATACGTGAATATAAATATTGGCTTATCAGAGAAACTTGCCGAACTATTTACGGGTCAGTATTCCATGGTTCTGTAATAAAAGCCCTGATGCAAATTTTATTTACATAAAACATACGTTGAGATTCTCTCTGTGCTACATGTCTAATTTTTACATGATCAGAAGCAATTTTTAAGAGACCCATTGGACACTGAATTTTTAAACACATGTTATAAAGAATTGTTTAGAGCACAGTTTTCTCAGAGTAAAATTACAGCACTGCAAATGTCACACTCAAAAGGAATGGGTCATCTTAAACATATTCTTTCATGAAGTGGGTCTAATGCTCCAATAGCTCCTGAACCAGCAATTTTGTCATTTGCATTTCAAAACAGAATTGTTACAACACAATTGAAATTCCTGCAGGTCTCAATTTGCTGCAGAGATGCTTTGTAGTCTCAGTAATGCTTAGCTTAGCTGTACAAACAAACAGGCTCTTCACCCCCAGAGACTCTCTCCCTCCTAAATGAAATGGTAACCCATAGATACACACAGTTTTGATAAAAATCAATCCCCTGTCATCTCACAATTTAGCAGCCTCGGGAGTCTTTATAGCCCAAGGATTTAAGAGTAAGCTGTTGAGGAAATGTACTCTACCTTCGCACTGTCTGCTTTTCATGTTTCTCCGAAATCCAGGCTTACAGCGGCAGAAAACAGATGTTTTTATTTGATTACAATATGCATCATCTCCACATGGATTCATACTGTCCTCACAGGTGTGTTCAGTGGAAGCTAGGAGCGAAGAATATGATCAAAGTTAATCTATCTCTGGTTTATGAAGTAGGAATTTATTTTTCAACTTGAAATCATGTTTATTATCACATGAATGATTTCTGTTCAAGATTTTGGTTTTCTGTGCATCTATACCCTCATTTCTTTCTAAGACAAAGAGGCTGATAGAGACTGAACTCACTACATTAATATAGTTCAGAGCGGCTCCAACACAGGCATTTATAGCTGTTGTCAAGCCATGTTATTTCCTAAGATGGAGGCAGTGATCCTCATGAGAAGCCATCTTCAGAACAGGAGGACTAAGGAATGCTGAATCCTCCAAGAGCAGACCCATTCCTAGAGAGGAGCTGAAGATGGAAGTGCTCACCAGTGCCCCTCGTTTGGGATCCCGAACTCAGTCAGGGAGCTAAAATGTTACTCAAATCGGAAGGTTGAATTAGCAATTTGTTACATCGTTAGTCTCACCACACAAAATCAAGTAAAATCTGAGTGGGAGGCATGAGTTACAAGACCTTTAGAAGGAAGCAACACTTATGTGTAATTTTGAGCAGAGTAGATTTAATTTCATTTCTTTGTCTTCCATTCAGGAAAGCATTTTAAAATTCAAATAAAAGAGAAGGATGTTATAGAGATAACACTGTATTAGATCTAAATTACTTAAACAGTTCAAAACAGCTTCAAAACTGGAGAAACAAATAAATTTTACTAATTAAATTTGTTTATTAATCCTTATTAATTCTTAAATATTTTGCAATGAATTAAAATATACTCTAACAAAGATATCCATGGTCTCATCAAACTTTTCCAATTTATACATGCTAAAATTAACTTATACTCTAATGGTACTTTGGCAAAGGTCTGACTGCAGCTCCCTGGAGAGCAATATCCCTACAGTGGTACAACAATCCCACCTCTGAGCATCAGTTGGCTTTGTGTCCGTCTATGCTTGTGTAATAGAAACACTCACTCTTTCTGCAGCCTTGCTCATCGGAACCATCTCCGCAGTCATCCAACTGGTCACACTGCAGCTCTACAGGGATGCACCTTTTGTCACTGCAAGCAAACTCATCCTTCTTACAAGGCCTAGATTTGTATGTAAGTTCACCTGCAGAATCATTTAGAAAGTAGCTAGTCAGAGCTTCACAGTATCACAATGGATTATTTGAGTTTACCATGTGTTCCAGATTTAACTAAGTACTATGAAAGCACAGGTCTTCTATAGTAAAATGTAAGTTCTAGGAGCTAAGTGAAAAGATTTTTATATTTTGGGAATTTCAAAAAGTGAGAATATATTTATTTTCCCTATAATAATTATTTTTACCAGAAAATATTTTATTATTTACCACAAGTAGATATTTTTAACTGATATAGACAGCCTCAAATGAGGTTGAGTTCTGCATAGTCTTTGAATTAACTATTTGTACGCTTACATCTTTGTTATGGGGACTTTTTGAATCACAGAATTCTAAGGAAAGGCAATATACACAATATATTGTGTATAACAATCTGCACAAGCCCCCTCCCCTCAGTCTTCTGAAAGAAGTTGTTTCTTCCAAGAAATTGTAATGGTCTGGAATGAAGTGCTTTAGCGGGAGGCTCTGATAAAGCCACACAGTTTTACCATACAGGAAAAATGTTGGAAGGTGATTTTAACACAACTGTCACAAGCTCAGTTTCCAGGGAAAGAATCTTCATAAATCCACATGGAACCTTTGCTATAATTTTAAGGACTCAAATCATTCTGTTATCTTGTTTTTGCTTCCAAATCAATTATTTCTCACTAAGTAGATTTACCACCACAGTGATCTTCATCTGAGTTGTCCCCACAGTCATTAACCCCGTTACACATTTTCTCAGGTTGAAGGCAGACTCTGTTATTTCTGCATCGGTGAGGTCTTGTAGGTGGGCAAAGAAATTTGACTGAAAAAACAAAAACAGAGGAAAATTAGAGTGACTTTTTTGGGTTCACTGAATTATTAAAAATGTATTTGGTGTTTATTTTTGAATAGCTAATCTGACTTTTGTCTTCTATTGTTAAAATGGCTGCTATTAGATACTAGGAAAATGTGTAGTAATGAAAGGTTTTGGTTCAGGTTTCTATTACTAACAACAGAAGAGTGCACAGTTGAAGATCTTCAAAGATTATCTATCTTCAAAGGGGTAGATAATCTTCATGATCTGATTTCCAGACACTGGAAATCAGACAATATACACAATGTGGCTGGATCAAGTATGGATTTCCGGCCCTAAAGTGAGTGTAGGTGGGGAAAAATGCCCAACAATATTAAACCTGTTAATCTGTTTTCTTTTCCTTGTCTGTATAAATGAATGCTTACATATACATTTAAAGTTTCTAACATAATCTCTGTTATTCATTTAGTGTCTGTGTGTGGAACAGTGAAAATCAGGGAAATTTATCCCTCCTAGCCTGCAATAGTCCACCCACAAAGCAGGAAATAGCTTTTCTTTTATGTGGAGTTACCAAGAACCATGTCCTTGGTTCTGAATGTTCTTTATCTTGAATTCTTTGTACAGATATTCTCATTTGTACTTAAAGATGTGCGTGCTTCCATATGTTAAATAGTTCCAGTTCTTTACCAAATTCTGGCATCTCAAGATGAACCATATGATAATACTTTATGATTAACATCCCCATAGGTTCATTTATCTGAACACATGATCCCAGTTGTTGATGCTATCTGGAGAGGTTATGCAACCGTGCTTAAGGAAATAGGTCATCAAGAGGAGGCTTCAAAGCTTCATTGGAAGTGCCTCCACTTCCTATTTTCTTTCCCTGCTTCCTGTGTGTGGATGAAAATGTGAACAGGCAAATTCCTGTTCCTGCTGCTATACCTTCCTGCCTGTTTTCCTGCTTCCTCTGCCATGATGGACTCCATCCCTCTGGAAACATAAGGCAAAACCAAAGCCCTTTTCTCATCTGACTTACTTTTGGTCGTGGTATTTTTACCATAGCAACAGAAAAGTAACTTGTTATGTATCTTTTACTTAATGCTATCATTTCTTGAAAAACAATGTGTGATGGTTCCAATGAGAAATGTCTCTTAGCAGCTCAAGTATTTGAACACTTGGTCCCCAGTTGGTGGTGCTGTTTGAGAGGCTTGTGGAAGTTTTAGATGTATGACTTGCAGAGGAAGCAAGTCACTGGCAGTGAACTTTGTGAGTTTATAGCCTCATCCGACTTCCAGATCTTCTGGGTGTCTTGCATGTGGATAAAGATGCTACCTCTAGCTTCCTGCCACCAGGGCTGCCTGCTCGCATGCCTCCTCAAACATTATGGACTCTAATCTTCCAGAACACTACACCAAAAAAACCTCTTTGTTCTATAAGTCTAGTTTGGTCATGGCATTTTATCCCAGCAACAAAATCTAACTAATACATAACATCTTGAAATTATTTTGATTTGTTGAATCCAAATAAGACCTCCTTCAAATGAACCACTGCTGTTCATTGTTTACCCCAATTATGTACATTTTGTGGATTGATTCATTTAATATTGACACCAGTGAGAGAGAGAGAGAGGAGAGAGAGAGATTAGTTATTAGTTATTCAGATATTCCCAGGTATACTGTGTCAAATGTCCTTCAAAATACCTTCCTAGTACAAAAACCACATGTGGCTCTGGAGTCCTGCAGTGCTGATTCATTACCATTAATTCCCAATACCATTCACTGGTTTTGTGGTCAGGTGGAATATAAATATAATGGAAGAAGAAATTCATAGTTATTGAATTTGTAGTTACTGAACATTAAGAGGTTTTGGAGTTGATAATGGTCGAAAAGTTCTCATAGTTTTGGTATATATGATTTAGAAACAATATAGTATTTGATAATTTTCTAGAGTCTATTTTTTAGCTTTATGCAAAGAAAACCTTGCTATATCATTCATCAGTTTTACCTACAGAAGAACATCTCTAAAACCTTTGTCTTTTTCTTCTTCAACCTATTAAAAAATATAGCTGCCTACTTGTATTTTTTGCAATGTTAGCAACAGTAGTAAAATGGCATCGTTTACCAGAAGGTATTGCTTTGATTGTCATGCCAACAAGATTTTCCTTTTTTTCTTTTTTTTTTTTTTGTTTGGTGGAGGGATGGTTTGAGACAGGATCTTACTATGTAGCACTGGCTCATCTAGATCTTACTATATAGACCAGATTGGTCTTGATTTTACAGAGATACCCCTGCTTCCGCTTCTAAATGTTGAGATTATAGACATGCATCCATGCCTAGATTCCAAAGGACATTTAAATGCATATGCCCATGGAATATTTTTTATAAGTCAACTGAGGTACCACTGAATTATGTCTTAAATGGTAGGGTCTTCCTTTAAATTAAAGCTGAAATTGCCTTTATTCTTAATATTAGATAAAAATAATGAAAATAGGTTCTATAAAGAAATTTAAACAAATATAAGAAATCATTTTGGTGATCCCAAATTTTACACATTTTTATTGTATAAATATACAATGGAAACATTAGCCAAGAATAACTTGAATACAAAGAAATGATAATTGTTTAGGTCTCAATGTTGAATAACATTTGTGGTTCCATGTATACATACATTGCTTCTCTGAATAACTTCAGTAGTGAATGATTGTGGAACTGTGTCATTGTTCACATTATTCACTTTTACTTGCCTATTAAAAAGTGCTTACCCTGAAGCATTCATTTGACATGAAGCCAAAAAGTCTTTATATGTATCTTGCTCAATTCAAAAGGCCATCTAGCCCATACTCTATCTTTTGAAGAGTGCTGTCATGTGTAGTTTCAGACTTAAATAGATTGTCTACAGAGTCAGGAATGTTGAACACCTGATCTCTGTACTACCTGGACAGAAGTTGTATCTGATTCTATACTTTATCTCAAGGAGTAGGTGGGTCATAACCTTAGATGAGAAGACAAACGTGCACTTGAGAGCCATGTGAAAGGCCATACCACACATCTCAGGAGCTTCATCAGAGTTGTCTCCACAGTCATCTTCTCCATCACAAACCCAGAAATTGAGCTTGCAAAGGGAGTTATTGCAAAGGAACTCATCGGCTCTGCATGTATTTCCTCCTTGATTTAAAAAACAGACAGTGAAAATTAGGAATGCCAGACTGAAGGATAAAGTTATCTCTACATTTTTCTTATTTTTTTTAATGCTCTTTTTCTGTATAATGTCAGAAATAGGCAATGTCCAAAGATTTGTTTTTGACAAAAATGATGTTCCTAGTCTACAATTCAAAACATCTTTATATTAATTTCAAAATATCATATTTTATTTAGTGAATACTAGAATATATCAGAATAACATTTTAAAAATACAAATTATCTCTCATTTTACATATTTTTATGTTACAGATTAAATACATTTAGGCTTTTTAAAGTTTTAATTTTTACCATCAAGTTTTGTTGGGCAACCAAGAGCAATGATAATAGCTTATATTGTTTTGGAATCTCTGCAACACCCATGATCACCTACTCAAGGGAGGCATAAGATATCTGGCACTGGGCTTTTTATTTAGCACCCTATAGCTTCTGGGAGGAATATTATCCCCTGTACAAGGTAATTACAATTAAACTCATATGAATATGTACATACTGAAGAGACTACATGATAAGGTCACATGACAAGGGGAACAAAGCTTCCTGTTTCTTACCCATGCAGGCTGCTGGGTAAGAAATGTCATTAACAATCTTGCCCAGCTATGAACCCAGAAAGCTAAAGTAACAACCAGTATGCTAAGATGACATGGGGTGAAATAGTGGCATGAATGCTATGGGGGTAATCAACCATGTTTTTAAACTGGATTTAAGGCATACTCCACAGGAAGAAACATAAGCCTGGTACTATAAATCAGACAAGAACCCATGGCTACCGAGCTCTTAGGCCCCAGGGGTAAACCTACTACTATTTCTTTCCCAAATTTACATAATAGCAAGTTGTCCTACAAATTCAGATCTCTTTACCCATAGATTAGTGCAGCTGTCAGACTTCATCAGAGAAGTTTCTTTATATAGTGCTGACACTCAGTGCAGAAGCTCACAGCTGGTCAAAGTGCAGAGACTATGTGTCTATGGAATTCTCGGTCATAAACAGGACATCTATAGCACACCTGCAAGAACCCCAAAAGCTCAGGAATAATCTTGGAGATGGGGTGGAAAGATTGTAAGGTCATTGAGACCGGGGAGGTTCACTGTGTTCTGGACAAGACAAGACCACTTCACCTATGAACGCACAGCAGCTGTGGTTACCTGCACAAAACCTGCATACCATGAAGCTGGTCAATTTCATCAGATATGTACAGGAGCAAACATCATGTGCCCCACCCCTAGCTGAGAAGCTGTTGCTAGGTACTGGTTTCTGACAGAGTCATTTTTCTTTAAGTGTATGTTGACCATGCTCAGTGGAGACCCCACAAACATGACTACGTGGGTAGCAGAAATTGGAATCAATGCATTATTTAAAAGATTAAAAAGAGGATAAGAACTTGGCAGAGAGGTAGAAATGAATCTGAAAGGACTTAGGGGGAGGAGTAGGGGTGAGTCATTATATGTATTTATGAAATTCTCAAAAATTAGGAAAAATTATTATGTTTAAAATATTAATTTGTATTACAACTTTACAGTTCTACATAGAAAAGATACTTAGAGTTATTATATAATTCTTCTGTCCCTAGAACAGTGATCTACCTATTTACTAAAATTTTATAGTAACTGATAAAATGTTGTTGCATCATAAATAATAGTATTGTAAAGGAATAAGTGTTTTTCCGTAATATTTAATTTTTTTTTTCTTATAAAAACCATGCAATCCAATATCATTTTGTATGTTTAAAGTTTTGCAATAAAGGAAAAATATTGAACATAAAAATTCTAGAACACAAAACTTATGTGTACAGAACACATGAAAAAGACCCAAAGAACTAATTTGTATGAACAGATAACAAAATATAGTGGAAATTTAAATATCATTAGGTAATGCGGCTTCCTGTCTTCCTCTAGACCACCTATTAATTTCTCAGAAACTCAATATCATTATGTGTGATTAAAAACATGATAAAATGATTTATAAATTTATACTCTCTAGAAGTACCCAAGAACACAACACAGAGATCTGAATTTATAATTAAGATAAATAAGATTTCTCTCATGGTAGATACTGGAAAAAGCTTATGATTTTTATTACTGCTGTGAGTCAGAAAGCAAAGTCATTATATAAGGCAGACTTGACAGATTTTAAACAGATGATTTTTAAAATCTTTGATATGGTTATGGTAGACATGACTTGGGGAAGATGGCTAGATCACTCAGAACCTTGAATTAAAGTTAAAACTGGCTAAGGATTTAGAGAGTTACTAATTTGAACAGTTGAAAGATTTTCATAAAAATTCAAATTAAAGCTGGCCCAGTTTATATTGGCTTCACTTAGAAGCCAATAGAAGCCAATACACATAAGGGCAGGTTCTCGAGAGTGTGCAGGGTAACTGCCACCTTGGGGGACTTCACAAAGTCTCACATTTGTCCCTGAAATGCTCTTTTCTTTCAAGTTTCTGCAATGTTGATCTCTAAAATTTTATGATCTAAAAAAAATCTAAATTACCAAACTCATACAGGACAACATATTACCATATAATAAAGCTTTCTCTGAAAAATAATACAAGGATAACATGCATACATTTTAGTACTGAATGACCTCTAAAGACATAGTTTAGTGTGGCGGTACAAGTCTTAATTCCAGTACTTGGGAAATTGAGGCAGGGATCTCAAGTCTGAGGCCAGCCTATGCTACAAAGCTACCTAGATAGACTGTGTCTACAAAGAAAATGAATAAATGAGAAAGAAAGAAAGAAAGAAAGAAAGAAAGAAAGAAAGAAAGAAAGAAAGAAAGAAAGAAGAAAGGAAGAAAGAAAGAGAAAGGAAGGAAGGAAGGAAGGAAGGGCATAACCCAAATATCAACATTCGTAACCTATGAAATAGAGTCAGAGTTTTTCAGAAAAATGTTCTAATTACTAATGTCTTGCATGTTGTGTTTTACAACATATTAAATTCTAAGACAATCTGTGAACTCTTGACATTCTTTGATTATCATGGAAAATTCTATTTGTAGCATATCAGTCTTGTTAAAAGGAAAAGTGATCTTCCTAAACTGTTGAATTAGATAACGCTGTAATTTTCTCCAGATGAGTCCTGGATGTACCACCGGTTTTATTAAGAATAGAAATATAAATTAAAGCTTAATTGTAAGAGTAAGTCAAAGGTTTTGTAATAACCTATTAAGTAACTCATATTATACTATAAAGAATTTGCATTCAAACAAAAGATCATGGTGCTACCTTGACATCCTAAATCTAAGTTGCAATGCTTTACTCTGAAACGGCTTGAAACACACAGAAGCAACAGAAAAACACAGAATTTAAAGAGGATGCATGGATTAAAATTCTAGTCTTCTAAGCATATTCTTGATTAGCTCAGCAGGAGTTTACCAGGGGACTACAAAAGTATATATTAGTTATCAATGACATTTCTAAACATAACTGAGCTGTTGGCAGGCATCACATAGGAAGCAACCAGTGAGAGGTCTCATCTTGATTTGGGTTGACAGGAGCTTTAATAAATGAACATATTTTACAATTCATATAAATAGTTTACAAATTTTGAGCTCATGACTACTAAAAAGAATACTGCCAATCTTTTCTGCTAAAACTTGTAGAAGAAGTAAAATAAAGTTTAAAAGATCAGGCAGAACAGGCTTTAGGTTGATTCAGGCCATTGGTTTTATGTTTTAAAATCTGAATGCAGCTTTTAATTCCAGCCACTCAGAATATTACTTTTAGTAACCAAATCTAATTAACTAAAAAATTATGTCATGTTGATTCCACAGGTTTTGTGTATGTGTGTGTGTGTGTGTGTGTGTGTGTGTGTGTTGTGTATGCTTATGTTGTAATGTGTGCTTATATGTGTATGTGTGTACATATGTATGTGTGTATATGTGTTTTATATGGCTGTATATAGATGTGTATATGTGGGTGCACTCAGTTGCACATGGCCCTGTTTAGGCAGAGGTTAACTTTGACTATCTTCATCTATTACTCGACCCCTAGTCACTTGATACAGGCTCTCTCATTGAACCTGGAGTTCACCATTTCCTCTAGACTGACTGGCCAGCAAGCCCATGGGATTCACCTGAACTGTTTCCCCAACAGTCGTGTTAGGTGCATGTGCTGCCTCACTTGGCATTTACATATATGATCTGAACCAAGGTCCTCATGCTTGCACAGCAAGTATTTTTTCCACCAAGCCTTCTCCTCATCCATAAGTTTTCCCCATCATATGTTAGCCCAGATGGCCAGATTCAAGATGAGAGAAAATTTTAGCCCAAGTTCCCAGATTCAAGATGAGATAGTACAAAAGATGCTTATTCTGGCTTTCCATTTCCTCAACGTCTTGAGACACAATTATCCAATACCAAACTTACTTCCAGAAAATACGTTAAACACTAGAAATGTAAATTTGTCTATCTTCAGATCCATCCAGCAGGACCAAATACTTCATTCCCCAAAATATTTTTTTGAATGTAATTGAAACCTTGAACTGTGAAGAATGGGAGTGGGGAGGACAGTGTGGTGGTCTTTGTGAAAATTATAAGTGATTAAATTAAAGGCTCTCAGGTTTTTTTCACTCAGCAGGTGGCTGGGTGGGGTGGCGCAGTACTCGGGAGGCAGAGGCAGGCAGATCTTTGTGAGTTCGAGGCCAGCTTGGTCTACTTAGTGAGTTCCAGGACATCTGGGGCTACAGGGAGACCCTGTTTCAAAAAGAAAAAAAAAAAAAAAAAAAAGGTTAGTAGAATCCATTTTAATGTGAAAGATTTTGAGATTTCTGTTTGGTCACAATGTGACACAGGAAAGGAGCAGTAGGTACTAAGGCTGGAAGGTGCAGTCAGTCTCTGTGACCCTCTCTGTAGGGTCAGCACTCAGAGAGCCAGCACAGTGGGCATAAAAATGGGCGAGCCTAACAGTGGATGGTTTGCAATGACATCCAGTTAGGCAGAATTCCAGCTCGATTTGTCCAGGAACTACATGAGGCCCAGGAGCTGAAGTTGAGCCAAGAAATTACTAGTTGAATAATTTAATTGTGAACCCAGGATTATGAGAGCGCAGGTGAGTTGGTACTGTCAGGTGAACCACATTGTTTCCTGTTTCTATAAAGATCAGCTACACAGAGTGAAAGAACAAGACAGAAGACAGGCAGCCATTTCAGACAGACGAAAGTTCCTTGTTCTCTATATTGCGCTGCAGTTCCTCAATGAGACTGAAATGTCTTCTAAACATAAGACGTTATCATGCTTGGGATGAAGACATCATCTAATCATAAATATTTGACCTTTTTAAGAAAGTAGAAAAAACTTCTAATATATTAAACTATACAAATCCTGAGAACATTTCCAAATGCCTGGGAACCAATGAAAAAGTTGAATTTGTTCAAATGTTCTGAAACGTAAAGTCTACATTACTGAGAGGTGTTTATAAGTAAGTAACAAAACATTACCTTAAACAAGCCAAAAAATAGGAAAATAAAGTTGCATAATTTGTGATCATTTTAAACTTTAGCACACATTTTCTCTATGATTCACATTACCACAAATAATTGAATGGTCTTAATGTCACGATATATTACTTAAAAGTAGCTACATCAACAAATGGTCTTTACATAGTTGAGAAATAATATATGTCAAAATTGAAAATCATCTTAAAGAATGAAAAAAAATGTACATCTTATCTACTCAACAATATGTCAAGAAGGGACTATGGGGTGCAACTACAACTAACATATCACACAGATTATGCATGTGTAAAATCCAGTAAATGTGTTCATCCTATTAAGCTAAAACACTTGGTAGAGAAGCACCTCAGAGCTCAGAAAGCACCTGTACAGTCATGCTGACAGAGGCTGTACTCTCTCCAGAGACTGTCCTCTCTCTAAAGAGGCAGTGTCCTCTCTCTAGAGAGGCTGAGTCCTCTACAGAAGCAGTGTCCTCTCTCTACAAAAGTTATGCCCTCTCTCTACAGAGGCTGTGTCTTCTCTCTACAGAGGCTGTGTCTTCTCTTTATAGAGGCTGAATGCTCTTTCTCCAGAGGATGTTTGCTCTTTCTACAAAGTCTGTGTTCCTTCTATACAGAGGTTACAAACTCTACAGAGGCTATGTCCTCTAAACCTCATGCCTTCCCAATACTGACTAGTGTCTAGCCTGGAGGCACACACCCAATAGCCATTTAACATACTCTTGTATCTGGATGGGTTTTCTTCCATCATTCACAATTTGGGATTACATTTTGTCTACTAAATGTCTGGATTTTGCTTGTTTAGAGCAAGTTAACATTGTAATGGAACTAGACACAGTAAAGAAAATTATTCAAATATCCTATCTTCTGAATGCACTATATTTAATATATATATATATAT